AACCCTAACCCTAACCCTAACCCTAACCCTAACCCTAACCCTAACCCTAACCCCTAACCCTAATCCATCAAGGAAGTCTTTGTAGTGCACGTCTCTCAGAGTTGACTATGAATGTCTGCGTTGTTGACTTTGGATGCCTTGGTCTTTTGTAGTGCATGTCTTCTGATTTGTAGTCTTGACTTTGACGCGCAATATTCCCAGATAATTCCAATGAACTACAACGCGTCCCAGAAAATTTGTAGTGCACGTCTTTGGCAATACAAAGATAATTCTGAGTGCGCGTCTCCATCGCCACTCTATCTCGCTTGTTCGCCATAAAACCCTAACGCTGCTGGGCGATTGAAGCTTCCAAAAGCGGCAAAGGTGGTTGTGATCTTGGCGAAGCGCGACAGGACTGCATTGATGCTTGGTAATCGTGAATAAGCGGAACAGAATTATAGATATTAGTAGCTTAAGGCCTAATCGGTCTTGCGAACAGATCCCGTGTCCGCGGGGAAGCTGTGCTGCAACCTGAAACCATCACGTTGCGAGTCATCGATGCGAGTCAAACTACGCAATTTCGCGATCATCTACAATAGCTTCTAGAAGCTGCCAGCCTTTGTCCGTCCCAATACTTTTGTAAATCTGCGCAGCATCGTTGTACGCTACCCGAGGCTGGCCATGGTGTTCCAATTTGGCTGAGAAAGAGAGCCTTATATCATTTTCATCTAAGACAATGTTGTGGATCTAGCTTTCTCACGCCCGCCGGCTCAACTCCGGATTGAGTCCCACCACATTTCCGTTTGTAACGCTGTCTGCGACTCCAACAAACTCTCAACTTCTTCGACAACTCCCATCATGCAGGCAGCTCTTCAAGCGCTGGAAGACACTCCCGTGATGACAGCAAGCGAAGCTCGAGCCTTTGCTGTGCGCTGCTTTCCAGGGGAGTGGCCCAGCGTTGAGGACGCACTAATCGAGGTCAGTCGTCTCTCTGGTGGAACGCAGAATCTTCTGACGGTGGTGAGAAGACGTCACACAACTTGCGGCAGCCAAGAGCCTGCTGTACTGTTGATCCGCAAGTATCCTCCCGAACGCGAAGAATGCCCTCAAGTGTATCATGCAACCAGCATCGAGGAAACCCTCGTTGCTTTCGAGGCTGGGCGAAAAGGATGGGGACCCAAGCTTTACGACACCTTCAAGGGCGGCAGAGTCGAGGAATACGTGGAAGCGCATCCACTGACCCCCGTTGAAGCCTCGAGTAAGCTCATCAGTGAGGAGATCGCTCGAATGTACGCCCGCTTTGCCTCCCTGGAAGTGCCTCTTTACCCCGGAAAAGTTTTAGATATTCTGGACGCCGCAGCACGGGACCTCAAGGCATTCCGCACTTGCCAGTCAAAGCTGCAGGAAATCTTCTCAGCGTTTGCCCGTCCAGGCGCTGAAAACATCGTCAGCAATGTCTTTGAAACAGACTGGGAGGCTGAGACTCGGTGGGTCCGATCGCTTTTTGCAAAGTACGGCTGTCAATCTGCTGTAACGCACTTTGACAGCAACTTTATGAACATTCTCGTTCGCGAGGATGAGCACGCCGGCAAGACAATGCTGATCGATTACGAGACTACCATGTCTGGCTTTCGAGGCATCGACATTGGCAGTCATTTCGCCGAACACATGTTCAGCTGGACGCACCCAGAGAACCAGCTTAATGGCTATCCATTTCCTCCCTTGGAGGCGCGAAAGCAATTTTGCAAGACCTACCTGGAAGAGAGCGCGCAACTCGGCATATGCGATGATAGCGGAGCTGAGCAAGTCAAGCACTTGCTAACGGAATCACAGATCGGAACCTTGTTCTTTGTAGTCCGTACGCTGGTAGACGTTCTCAAGTATCCCGAACCAGCTTCGTTGGATGCTACCATGGCTATTGTCGATGTCTACCATCAGACAAAAGCCGAATTCCTCTCTGTGCCCAATTTGGCATAGCAGGATTTGGTGCTTCTGAATGATACTGCTAGCCCCCCTGAACGGTGATTGTAACTGATTGTGGAGACTGGATCAGTACTTACAAGGTGCTGCCCGCTAGGAATAGGGTTACAACCGGCCTGCGCTACTAATGAAACTTGTAGAACTAGTCCATAGGAACATATTCCTTGCAGAACCCATTGCAGGGTCCAAATGAAGTCCTTGCTGCACAATGCAATGTAGAGCGGACTGTGATCGGCGCACGCGTGTGGGGAAACGTTGGCCGGCTTCTTCTTTTCAACCCTTGAAGACCTTGACAGCTATGTTTCTGTGGCGAGTACTCAGCATGTCAGGAGTGAATATCATATGCCAGTCGCCAGCCGCTGACTTTCTTCCTTGCTGCGACTGTACAAAGGAAGTCCTCTCGGGTCTTTTCGAGCCACTCCGAGGGCTAGTGTTGAGTCTTCCCGTCGTATTCTGTAATGAGGTCGCTGAGGCTTCAAAGACATGACAGTGCCATCGTCGAGCAGAGATCAGTATCGCGCAATGAGCTGACAGAACATGGGGCCCCGTTGGCCCGCTCGAACAAACGAGGCGTCTCCTGAATCAAGACCGATTGTGCACAACAAATCGCCTCGGCAGATCAAGGCGATACATTGTCAGTGTTGCCAGCTTTCGAAGATCATGCTTCGGTCGATATTGACAGTCTTGCGAGCCGGGCAGTTGTTCTTGAACGCAGACGGCGAAGAAAGAAGGAGATAGCCGCCTCAGCTTGAACTCGAAGACCGCATCACACAAAATGCATTTCCGCGGTCGCAACCGGCGTCTCTACACGATCCAAAGGTTGCGGAGTGGTGGCTCTGCACTTGCGATCGTCGGACATCTCGTCCGCAAAACGGCGAGCTGTTGCGAACGCGATTGAGAGTGAAGGCAGGGTCACATGAGAAACAGTGTTCCTGAACCTCACCACGTTGAATGTACAAGATAACCGACCGGTCATCCGCCCCGCACCTGATGCCATGCATGACGTTCGCTTACAGATGTCTTTCCCGATTAGAACAAGGTTGAGAGCTCGGCTATGGTGAACTCTTTCCGTTGACAGCAGGACTTCTGTGCGTTTTCTCGGGAAACACGGTCGATTCCGTGCTTTGCTGAGCCGCAACCCAGCGTCTCGGCTTGACGAGACCCGAAGTTGGCTTCACATCTGGCAGCGGCGCTAGAGGCGCAGTAGGGCGCAGTAGCGTCGCTCACCGGCCACCATTGTAACGATGATACGTACTGTTCCGCCGTGACACTCACAAAACAATATGCCGGGCACCCCGTTCACTCTCTTGGGTGGCACGCGACGCACAGCATTCACCATTCAGGTGATGGTCACAGGAAGGCGTTGCTGTGTGACACACCGTAAAAAATGTGTTGTTACCGCCGATAGGCGATTGTTCGGGATGACTGTGCTTGGGGCTGATTGGTGCGTGACCCAAATAAGAGTTTGCATGACGGTTGCGGTCGTCGGCCACGTGCAGCCTCATGGTCACGCGAGAATTCGCTGCACCGGCACTATCGCAGTGTAGGATCCTGAAACATCATCAGGTTAGTGCGACGACACAAATTTTGGCAGTGCTGTCAGGCTTCCACCGGCGAAACGATTCTGGTCACGCATTTGGTGTGGTCCGGCAGCAACTACCGTAGTGTGTGAGCGCCAAAATTGCGCTAGCGCGCTTGCAGAAGCAATCAGCTGCAGCTGTATTCCGACTTTTCCGACGCTTCCACCGCCACGAGCTGTCCACCAACGCCAAATGGCAGACAAGAGATTTGCGTGTTTGGCACCGGTGACCCTCGCTTAGCGTTGCTCCCCCTCAGCGAGCCAGTAACGAAGCTAGCCGCACTAACACCAAAGTTGAGAAGATCGTCCGTCTTTCATGCAGATTTTTGATACGTTCGTTGTAGCTACAGAATGAACCCTTAGGCCGGCGAGACCTCGTCCGAAGTAGAGGTGTGATGGCTCCGTCACTTACACAGACTCACCAAGACCGGACGGGTGACAACAAACCCATTTCGCATCACAGTGGCAAGATGGCCAGACAATGCGTCGCACACGACCCACAACGGAGCTCGGCAATGCAACGATCGCTTGTCAACGAGGGAACGGAGGCAACGAATCGACGCCCACCCTTGCGGGAATCTCATTTCGCTGCACTTGTGGCGCGGATGAACATGACCGCTGACTACCGTTGACTGGCAGGAGACGTCCAACGAAACGGCTGTGGGCTTTGGTCCTTTGCGCCCTCTACTCTCCTATCTGCAGTCAGTTCTATGCGTCAAGCTCGCACCATGTCCGTCTCGGCGGAGTTGATACTTGCGAACTCAAAAGGCATAAATAGACCCGCAGGACGGCGTCGCATCGATCCTTCCTCATACTTCAACGCCTACGGAAGCCCCTTTCTCCCTCGTTGCCATTATGAAGTTCACCTCCACCTTCGTCGCCCTTGCAGGCCTGGTTGCCTCGATGGCCGAAGCCGCCCCCCAGGGTGAGAAGCGAGCCTGTTCTCTGCCTTCGTCCTACAAGTGGACCTCTTCGGGTCCTCTCGCTTCCCCCGCCAACGGCTGGTCTAACCTCAAGGACTTCACCCACGTTCCTTACAACGGACAGCATCTGGTTTATGCTTCCTACTATGGCAACGGCAAGTACGGTTCGATGGGCTTCGCTCCCTTCTCTAGCTGGTCCAACATGGCCTCAGCCACTCAAACCGGTATGAGCAGCGCTGCCGTTGCACCTACCATCTTCTACTTTGCTCCCAAGTCCGTCTGGATCCTCGCTTCGCAGTGGGGTGCCAGCAAGTTCACCTACAGGACCAGCAGCAACCCTTCCAACCCTAACGGCTGGTCCTCGCCCCAACAGCTCTTCAACGGTGACGTCTCTGGCTCCAACACCGGTCCCATCGACCAGACGCTCATCGGTGACAGCTCGAACATGCACCTCTTCTTCGCCGGTGACAACGGCAAGATCTATCACTCCAAGATGGCCATCGGCAGCTTCCCCGGAAGCTTTGGCACCGCATCCCAGGTCGTCCTCAGCGACACTCCTCAGAAGATCTTTGAGGCCGTTCAGGTTTACAAGGTCTCTGGTCAGAACCAGTACCTCATGATTGTCGAGGCTCAGGGCAACAACGGCCGATACTTCCGCTCGTTCACCTCGAGCAGCCTCGATGGCCCTTGGTCCGTCCAGGCTGGCTCTGAAAGCGCTCCCTTTGCCGGCAAGGCCAACAGCGGTGCCTCGTGGACCAACGACATCAGCCACGGTGACATTATCCGATCCAGCCCAGACCAGACGATGACCATCGACCCTTGCAACCTGCAGATGCTCTACCAGGGCCGAAACCCCAGTGCTTCGTCCAGCAACTACGATGCCCTCCCTTACCGTCCCGGTCTCCTCACCCTTGCTTAAGTCTAAGGGGCTCATGCAATGGCTCGACAGCTGGTGTCAAAGTTGGGCGATATAGCACTCTTGGTTGTAAAATCTCATTGTGCAAGCGCTGGCAAATCACAGTTATGATTCCGCTGATCAAACAACACAGATCGTGCGGGAATGTTCAGGCTGTGGCTGTGAGACCTGGCGATGAATTTGTCGTGCTGTGCCCTCCGCAATCGGTTCGCACCAAGGGTCCGTGTGTGCAGTGGTGAGCCGAGAGACAGCGCCTGGAAGCGATTGGCTCGCTCAACAAATGAGATGAAAGGGGCAAAGAGTTGCTGAGACAGTTGCGAGACTACTCATCGAACGAGCGTGCGGGCCCATTGCTGCAAAACTTTGCCGAGAACATGACCTAAAGGCCACGCGCTGCGGTTCAGGCCCTGATGAATTGCCACGTGGATGAGACGGTCGAGCGACACCGAGTTCGTTAATGCGCCGACGCCTTGCACAAAGTAAACCTCCTTCTTGCGTGCCTTCCTGGACGCGCTCACTGCGCGCTCGGGCGTGGGTCGATCTATACGGACTGCCGCGGCGTCACCTGCACTCTGGTTCTGCTTGTTCAACTCGCTGAGCTGCGATGCAGACTGCTCGAGCACGAGATACTGGCAGAGAAGCGTCAGACATACCGTCGCATAAAAGAGGATGGAGTTTTCAGCGCCTGTGCCCGAAACGGTGGCATGAGCCATGTTGGACAATCCAGGATCGGTATTGAACCGACTTTGACTGGACGGATGTGCATTTCCACGGCTGCTGCCCCTTGCGCGAGGGTCGAAACCCGAGATGGGGCGATTGGCAGGTTCTAGATTGATCGGGGCAATGTCTCTGCGTGCCGCAAGACTCAACGCGAAGATCTTACTTGCCGCTCTGAAGACGTCGTCGCGATATTGCTCTTGCCGCAACGGTCCTTGCATCCACTTCTTCATTTGCAGTTTCGAGCGTCGCTGGCCTTTGCGACCAGACATGATCTGCACGGCTTTGAAGCTGACCAGCATGCGCAGTCTCGCACCGTAGAGCATGAGCTGAGCATCGTCCTTGCTTTGTGTGTCGATGCGGTTCAGGGTCAGCTCCTGGGATCGTAAAGCCATTGCGTCGGTCCAGGCTTCCAGCTCTGTGTCTTTTCGCGGCACCATCGCGACGTTCTGCGCATCATCGCCTTCGTCATCGTCGTGCAGCTCAGCGAGCTGAGTGAGAGCTGCGTCGACATTCCATCGACTGACAGCGACATTGAACACTGCCGCGCTGAGTACGAGCCTGGTGAGAGGCGAGGTATGAAGACGCGGCACAATGGCCTCGGCTGTGCTGGGCTGGCCCGCCGAGCCTCGCATTGACAAGAGATGCCGAAGTGTCCATTTTTCTACAGACGTGAGCTGGACACGAGCTAGGAGGGCCCAGTCCTCGGGTGATTCGGCTAGCCATAAAGATTCTGTGCACGGCAAGGGCGAGCGAAGCTCGCTTATTGTGACAGTGCAAGGAAGATCCCAGGCAAGGCTCAGATCGCTGTCGAGAATGAGCAAAGCCCAATTGAAACGTACCATCTCTTGGTTGCGGACCCACTTGAGCCATTCTTGCTCGCGCTTGTCCATGCTTGGGTTGCTGTGAGCCGGCGACGAAGATGCACTGATTGTGAGACAATTGCGGTCTACCTCGAAAGCTTCGAGCTCAAATAGCCGGCATCGGCGAGCCATGGTAAGGACGGTGTTGCGGAAACCCTCGAGGTACTCGAGTTTGGCGGGATCGCCCAGATTGCGCCAGAGTGCGTACGTGAGGAACAAGGTTTGCATGGAGGGGAGGTAACGGTGGCGTAGATGATTGATGCCAAACAGCTTGTAAGACACAGCGTGCACCAGAGAGCTGGTCAAGAGGCAGTAGGAGAATGCATTCTCCGCCTTTGAACAGAGGGCGCCTAAACAGGTGATGGCAGCCAGCAAAAGTGGATCGCAGGTGTCTGGGTCGAAAGTTGCTCGATGCAGGATTGGCAGGATGGGATCATAGTGCTCAAAGTAAAGTTGCACGAAGAGGTTCAACGTAGACGTCTTGATGGATCGTAGCGTGTCTTGAATACGTTGCAGATCTTCCGCTTCGACCTCACAATATCGAAACTCGTCGATCATGCGTTCCTTGGCCAGATCAGTCATCGGCGCCACCTGAAAGCTGTTTTCCAGCGCCGTGACTTCCTCGGATGCCAGAGGCACCTTGTGCAGACTCAGATGTCTGCCACCGTCGGTAGCTTTGGGACGATAGACGCTGGGCCACTGCTTCTGTCGACGCTTGCGACGTTTGCTCGAAAGGTCCGAGGGTGCGCGGGGAGAAGCGGCGCTACCGTGTTGCGCAAGCTGTGCCATCTCTTCGGCTGCGATCTCCTGCCTCGCAATGTCCTCTGGCGATTGCGCTGATACGGCGAGTTGCGACATGACGCGAGCCGATGGATCAGGGTGCCTGTAGCTCACTCGCTGATGCCGTGACTGGGCGGCCACATCTCTATTTGCGCGCTCCATGGGATCAAGGTCGGATGACTCTGACGACGAGTCGGGCGAGGAAGCTCTCGTCGGCCGTGCAGCTACCGATCGTCCGTGGGTAGCTTCCGACAACCTTGCTCGCTTCGCCGGAGGTCGATTCTGGTGAAGGCTTGGTCTGACTGCCTCGGGCTCCGAACCGGTTCTGCTGCCTTCGTCGGATGGCGTACCAGACCTCATAAAGCCGTTAGTAACTGCCTCGCTTCGGATACGCGCCAGCGTGGCAGCGGCATCGGCAGCATCCGTCGTTGCAGGCGATGCGGCGTTTGAAGCCAGACGTGAGGCGGCAGCACGCGGGAATGCTCGTGCCGTGTGTCCATTCGGAGACGTGTGCGAAGAATTCGTATCTCTTCTGCTCTGATTGTGATAATGCGACGGTCGACGTGACGAGCTCGCCCCTGCCGCAGCATGATGTAGACCTTGTTGATGGTGATGAACGATCGACGCCGCATCGAGATGAGGCTCGCCTCGCATTCCAGTCGCTGTCGGATCGGCATGATTGAAAAAGTCGGTCAGAAGGGGTACGCCTGGATCACCGAGGTAGGCTGTCCAGCCGTCATCCGGAATCTCCTGTTGGAGGAGCCAGTCCATCGGTAGAGGCGAGACGGCATCAGTCCAGGCATTTGCGTTGGAGAATTGCACCTGAGACTGCCTCCAACTCTCGAGATCGACTTGCTCGCTCAGCCTGTACTGTGGCGTCGCATCGAAGACAGTGTCGGCTCTGGGCATCGAGACTCCATCGGGTGCTGGCGGTGCATCTTTGGGTCGAGGAGATCCAAACAGATGAATCGAGGTTGGTGTGCTGGACAGGTGCAGAGACTGCTCTAGATGGTCCCGTGCGACGGAATCTGCGTGCGTTTCGGGTTCGACAAGCTTGACCTGAAACCAGTCAGGCTGCCGTATTGTAGCCCCGGACGCAGATGCGCGTGGGCTTGACCGCGCTGGGTCATGTGCGGAAGCGTCGTAATCGCACATGGAAGCTTTGTCAAGACGAATGCATCTGCTGCAGGCTGGCAGAGTACCATCGCAGCGCGCTTTTGCCTTGCTGCACCGAGAGCATGCTCGAGCCACTCGGCGGCTGGCAGCGAGAGATCGAGACGACAGCAAACTGGCGGACGCTTCGTTGGTATGCGTGGCCGCAGATCCGGACCTTGATTGTACGATCGTTAAGCTGCCGAGCTGAGACGATGAGGCACCGTGGAAGACGTCGCCAGATGCAGAATGCGCGCCATCTTCGACTGTCTCGGGCAGTCGATGCCTTTGCACGTGCTTCGCAAGCACATCGGGACGATGGAAGCGTCTTTCGCAGATCGAGCAAACTAGCGACGGCAGTTTGTTGTGCGTGGCCAGGTGCCGGTCCCGGTTGACCGCTCTGGAGAACGTCTTGTCGCATTTTGGGCATGCATGTACTTTGCCCGACTCTTTGACCGACTCGGCATCCATCGCCGACTACATGACTTGCTCACTCGAACGAGACGAGTGCAAGCCTTCTTAATGCACGATGATCCTTGCCGATGCAGGGCGCCGATGGATGTCTCCCAATTGTAAAGCAGATGAGTGGTGGAGACGACGACGGTATGGTCGACTTGATGGGTATGTTGGAAGCAATGGTGGAGAGGTAGAAGAGACTGACCAGCATAGACCCGTTCCGGCCTCATTGGAGTGCGGGGTACGGGGAAGATGGCGGAGCCGGTCGACTCATTTCGAGGACCCGCCAGCTCAAAGAACGGCTCCACCACCGGAACAGGCGTCGTTGAGGCTTTTGTTCCGCGTCAAGCGGACGCCGGAATTTCACTCAAATTTTCATTCGGCCTGGTGAAGGTCGATTTGGTCCACCGACTAAACTGTTTCAAGACAATGCAGTGTCTCTTGTGTCGCGGTTTCAAGCAGGAGCACAGACACGAGCAGACTAGATCGTGATCAGAAACACATGATTGCAAGAAAACCCGGGCCGTACAGAGGTGAAGCGTGACAGGAGCGTGACGAGACAAAGCAAAAGAGGATCAGAGCAGAAAGGTGTACAGTGACTTAGTCAATCCAGGCGAGCTGGCTAGTAGCGTGCAGTGAGGCGGCGCACTGCGGGTCCGAAAAAGTAGAAGGGGATGCCAAACGCAGAGACCACACCAAAGAGAATTGCGAGCACGTTGAACGCACCACGCGGTCCGGCCTTTTGGAGGAAGTCGACGGTGGAGAGCGATACACCGAAGCTGACAATGCCTCGCGACGAGCAGTACAGAAGCAGAATGGCTCCCGCACGCTCCGGGTAAGCGTCGATCGAGTACGTGTACGAGCTAAGGATGACCGCCGTAAAGGTAAAGTAGATGGCGTTCATAGGAATTGCAATGCCAGTCCAGTGCCACGAGTTGGGGTCTGCCAAGGTGCGGCCAAAGATGATGCAGCACGCGACCGCCAGTCCAACGGGCATGATGAGCGGGATGAGACGGTGTTCGGGCCGCGTCTGTCCATTGTTTCGCTTGGCGAGCTTCTTGACCAGCCAGTCTCCACCCAAGCCCTGCAGAGGAACGAAGAAGAGCGCGGTGATGAGCTGGGCGGACAGAACGTAGCCGATGGCCTCGTAGCTGAACCTGTAGGGTGGCGCTCCGAGTGCGCTAGCAAACTCGGTGGTCATGACGATGTACGCAGAGAGCGAGAGCGAGTTCATGAGCATCAACCAGAAGATGTTGGGGTAGAGCAACACGCGCACCGCCGACCACAGGCATCGCGCGGCCTCGCTAAACTTGGTTCGTCCCGTGAAGACGCGCAGTGTCGACCAGTAGGTGTATTCGCCGTAGGTGGCGGTATCGAGTACGGGCTTGCGCTTGTCGGTGTAAAAGATGGAGACGCTGGCGTTGATGTCTTCGGATGGCACCATTGCTCCTTCAGCACGCTCGTATCTCGATTCGGGAACAAGCACAATGCACAGGATGGCGACCACGAGCGAAACGATGGCGGTGATATAGTACCACCACCTCCATCCGAGATTGTCGGTGATGTGGCCTGTGGCAATCATCATGACGGAGAAGCCAATGGTCTGCATGCCGGAGAAGACGGCCATGCGGTTGCCGCGAACGTGGAGGAAGTTGATCTCTTGAATGATCATGGGGCACAGCGCTTCGGACTGTCCTGCAGCGAGGGACATGAACGCACGAACGATGAAGTGCGTGTTGAAGGATTGACTGAGACCACAGCCCAGCGAAGTGAAGGCCAGCAGTAGCGACGAGAAGATGAGCACTGGGCGACGACCGATTGCGATGGCGGCTGGGATACCAATCACGTTTCCAAGACCCATGAAGAGGGTCGGGTAGACAAGCAGATCCGAGACGCGTGGACTGCCGCGGTACTCTTTGAACATGAGGCCGACAAAGGCACCCATGCCAGACGAAAGCAGCACACTGAAGATCGAAAAGAGACCCAACACCACCAAGGTCGCCCACTTGCGCCACTCGGGCATGTTGAGTGGGTCATGAGGGTCGTTGGTTGGCTGAGGGATCAGCACAACCTCGTTGCCTCGGATGAGCGTGGTCTCGGTGGCGACTGCCTTCTCATTGTTCTTGAAGTTTTGCGAGCCGTACTCCATCGAGTCTACATCCACCACGTCGTTGGTGACGCCGTCGCCTTTGACGTCCATCTTGTCGTCCGAGCGATCGTGAAGCGACATACCGAAGTGGGCCGACTCGGGTCCGATAATGTATACGCTCTGGGTTGCTGTGGATATAGGGACGTGTTGGGTGTGTCGAAGTGAAGAGCGATGTGCTGAGAATGGGAGGCAGAGGGTATCGTTGGCAAGGTTCGGTCGAAGGTTATATGTCACTTGCACCTCTGCGCAAGACGCGCAGGTGCAGCGGTGATGTACTACAACCTGTTGGTGGATGTCTGTGCAGCTTCCAGGGGTGAGGCAAGACTGCAGCTTCCAGGGGAGTGGCAAGACTGCAGCTCCCAGGGCGACGAAGAATCCAGGAACCGAGGCTCTCTCTCGACGTGAAGTCGAAGCGCTTCGTGTCCGTAAGAGTGCAGCGACAAAATGCGGATAGACGGTACAAGGTCTGCCAGGCTCCAGACCTTCCCCGCTCGCGGCGTGCGGTGGCAAGCGTTAGGGCCAAACGACAACGCGGGGCCCCTTCTCTCAGGCGCTGGCTGCGAACCGACTCACTGCATCAGCAGATCCAGCAAGAGTTGCTTGTGTCGATGGGGTTCGGCAGTCTTCCGAGCGTCGAGCGGAGACATGCAGGGAGACTTCTTGCCAATAACGACCATGACAACACACCATGTGGTGGTGCAGAACGTATGTGGGGTCGTGTGGGGGAAAGACGATGAGGGTGGAGCCGCTACGGGCAAAGGTCTCGGTGTCGGGTTGTGTCTCACCCCGGATTCTCGGGACGCATGCCGGAGCCTGGGCTCTGGTGGTGGTGAGACGGCAAGGACGGGCTGCTTGGAGCCGTGCACCACATTCAGGCAGGTTGGTGGATATAGGAAAGGAACGCTCCGCGATGTGGCAGGGTGTTTGCGGGTTAACTCTTGGTCGTGACGAGCGGCGAAGAGATGAGAAAGTGAGGTGAGTGCTGAAACGCCCGCCCATCCCGCGGATTCAATTTCGCTACTGTACAAAGAAACGCGTACAGCTCGTTTAGAACGACGACGATGCCAAGGCAGACTGTTGTAGCAGGCAGACTGTAATTTTACCTGTCCACCAACAGCTTAGCGTCTTGCCGCTGCCTACAACGTTTCACCACGTGGAAGAGGCGCTGAGATGCATCAAAAATGGTGGAGCCCCCGTGTTCATTTTCACCGCGTTCCGGTAAGCGCTCCACCGTCCACAGATACCTTGCACTGCGCAGCCCCCACCCTTCCCGGCTCGGCTCGATGGAGCTTGGTTTTACAGCACAACGACGCAGCCGGAAAGGTAGCTCACCGAATGTTGTGGAAGTTCCGGCCTTTGCACCGCCAGCTCGATGCTGCTGGCACTGACCTCAGGATCAATCAGAGCGTGCCAACGAGGGCGTCGAGGCAGGCAGCAAAGTGGTGTGAACACGGACGAGTTGGATTGCAACGCACGACACAACTCTAAATGAAGGGCAAGATGATGTGGCTTGGATGCTCACTAGACAGGTGAATGTGGTGCTTGCCTCTGTTGATGCCCTTGTCGCCGTCCTGGGCGAACTCTTGGATCCTGACCTTTTGCCCAGAGACCTGCACTCTCAGAGACTCGCCCTTTTCGAACTGGATACCCATTGGCCAGATTGAGATGGGAACTTCGACGACTGTGCCCGGTTGAATCTTGTCTTCGCGGTCGTGAGGATGGAACGGGTAGAGCTCGTGCATGCTTCGGCTCTCGTCGATGCTCCGATGCGATGCCTTGAGCATTCCGACCGGCCCTAGGTAGACAGTCAAGTTGGACATCTCGCGCGGAGACATCTCTTCGAAGGAGTTGACCGGCACAGACGACCAAGGCAGATTCAGGTTGAGCATCTCCTTGCCATCCTTGTCCAGCTTTCGGATGATGACGTACACCTCCATGTCGTCCATGTCGTCGCATGACAGATACAGGTTGGCACGCACGAGACCGGCAAGCGCCTGATCCTTGTCGAAGGTATAGGTGAAGCCGGCAAATTCCTTGCTGCTTTCCGAGTCGTAGCTGACGACGCTTTTGGTTTGCGGCGCTGATGTTGAGAGCGTCTTGTCATCTTGCAGATAGAGCTTGCGGTAGTCCGTATTGGGCAAGGGGTAGTCGGTGGCATCGATGTAGTGGATTGGCTCGACGCCTTCGCCGTACTTTAGCAGCGACAAGCGCACCTTGGGCGTGTCCCTCTCCCAGCCATTGTCGACTCCTTTCAGGTATCGGTCAAAGAACTTGGCAAGATCGTCGATCGACTCTTGCACAGCCCAAAGATCGTACCATTCTTGGTAGGGATCCCATCGAAGCCACTTCTGATCGGTGGGCAGCTCCAAGAATCCTCGAACGCTTCCGACCGTATGCACGAGCGCCGAGTAGGAGCTGGTGATGTAGGCTGGGATCTTGATTTTGGAAAAGTCCGCACGCTTGTCCTCCCAATACGGGTTGGAGAGAGGGTTGCGTCGATACATCTCTGGGAAATTTTCCAGGCCGTACCGACTTCGGTGCGTGGTCTTCTCGATGAAGCCGAACAAGCCATAGTCCCAGATCCCGCCTCGGACGAATTGTTCGCGGAAGAGATCGGAGCAGGCCTCCCACGGCGCGATGCACTTGAGCGAAGGAGGCTGTTCCGCCGCGATGAACCATTGGCAGATGGCGAGATGGCTGTTGCCAGCAAGTGCCACGCTGCCGCTGCACCACGGCTTCTTGGCGATCTCTTCGATGACATCGTATCCATCCTCGCCCTCTTGTTTGCCCATGATGCAGATGTAGCCTTCGGAATCTCCGCCGCCTCTCGAGTCGACGTTGACCACGGCATAGCCCCGAGAACAGTACTCGGCCGGATCGGGTCCCTCGAACTTTTCGAGACCGCTGATCGCTCCTTTTGGGACGCCAAGACCGAAAGGCATGGGCTTCATCGAGACAATCCCGCTGTACTTCTTTCCGTAGGGACTCCATGCAAGGATGGCGGGTACGCGATCGGCCTCGTTCTGAATCGACTCTGTGGTGGCGGGACGGTATACGTCACAGTACAGGGTGCAACCGTCGCGGACTTGAATCCCGACGTCGTGTTCTACGATGATGTCGCAAGGCAGCGGTCGAGAGTCTTCGTACATCTTCCATCCCTTCGGAAGCCTTTCGACCTTGCCTGGATTGAAACCAGCATAGCCATTTTCACCGATCTTGGGAGCCTGAATCGGCTTGTAGTATGTCTGAACCGGAGGCGGCATTCTAACTGGTCCTCGGTGAAGGAACAAGAGTGCAGATGAGACGCTGTAGCTCGCAAATTTCGGCAGGGACCTCGAGGCGATTCCGGTTCGCCTTCCGCTGATGGACAGCAATGAAGATATGCGTATGTTGGCCAGGTGAGAACTGATTTTGCCGTAAGGAAGAATATTCCGTCGTAGAAGTGGTAGCTTGTCAAGACGCTGATGACCGGAGTCTTGTTTATATTGATGCTCCTGCCTCAGCCGCTAGAAGGATTGATGTTGGTCTCGTCGGGTGGTCAGTGAGCTCAGGGTCCACTCTTTCGATGAGGAAAGGATCTCGCTCTGCGGCTGGAGGCGGATTGTCGGCTGACATGAAATCGGCTCCACCCGCGAAGCGCCTTCACAGTGCCATATGCTGCTCGAAGACCCCGCGTGGACTCGGGCGAGGGTCGTGGTCGAGCGGCGGTCGGCTCCACCGGCGATGTTTTTTGCGGGGGAGATAGCAAGCAGCGAATTTCGGTGGAGTCAGCCACCGTCCTAATTGCATTTGTTACCATCAAACGAGCCGACTGTGTTTCGTTGTGGTGGAGCCTACATGCATCATGCACCGTTCAGCGATACACGCATTGCAAGCTCGAGCATTCGTGTGGCGTTTCTCGCCCATGTATTCCAACTCGGCCTCGCACCCATTTGCTGGGGTTGCACGAGGAAGAATATAGACCTTTGCTGCTCCACCATGGCGGCGGAGACAGCTGTATCACTCCACCAGCACACTGAGAGGGTAAAGGCAGCCCGTCCAAATCATCGAGGAGCATTGCGCCAGACCGGGTGAGCCACAAGGTTCAGGACGATGGGAGGTATAAAGACATGCCAGGTACTCCGACGATATCTCGTGACAAGCACTCAAGCCTACCACCTCTCAATACCCAGTACAACCCTCGCAACAACCTTCAAGATGGCTCCGACTGCTACTGCTCCCAACGTCGTGGTCCCCGAGGCACCAAAGTCAGGTTTCAAGGCGGCTTTGCCCAAGGTACACTCTGAAAGTATCATCAAGCCCACCAAGACCGTCTATGGCGACTGGCGCGACGACTTCTTCCGCGATGGCTTTGTCGTGCTTCCCAATGTCTTGTCTGCTGAGAAGGCCGACTACTACCGAGGCAAGTTGCTCAACTGGATCACGGGCTTCAACCTCGGTCTGGATCTAGAGGACGAGTCTACCTGGACGGCTGAACACCTGCCTGTCAGCTTCAAGTCGATGTTCCTCAACTACTGTGCGCCTCACGAGCGATTCATGTGGGAAGCGCGCTGCGAGCCCGGCGTCATGGACCCTTTCGCCAAGCTGTACGGCACAGACGAGCTGTTGGTCAGCTTCGACTCGTTCAACATCGGTCTTCCACGACGCAAGGATCTCACCTTCCAGCCATGGCCTCACTGCGACCAGAGCCCGGATCGAGTTGGCCTGGCCTGTGTGCAAGGCATCCTCAACCTGTACAACTCTGGACCTCAGGACGGCGGTCTGATCGTCATGAAGGGATCTGCGCCCCTTTTCGAAGAGTTCTTCGAGCAGCTGCCCAAGGAGAAGCGCTTCTCGTCGCCCCACGTCCACAGCGACTTCTACCTCTTCAACGAGGAGCAGGTCAAGTGGTTCGAAGATCGCGGCTGCACGCAGTACAAGGTAGAGGCCAAGCCTGGCGATCTCATTCTGTGGGACTCGAGGACCATGCACCACGCTGCGTTCCCCATGGGCAACGAGATTCGCACCGTCATCTACACGTGCTTTGCGCCTGCATCGCAGTGCTCTGCCGAAGACCTGGAGAAGAAGCAGGCGCTATTCCATCGCTTCGAAGGAACCACGCACTGGCCCAACTGCAACATGTTCGGGCAAGGCAAGGCCAAGAAGGGTGGCAAGCGCGAGTCGACCGAAGTATGTCCACTTGAGCGAGATGAACCGATCGAGAAGCCCATCGTCACCGAGCAGATCAAGAAGCTCGCCGGTCTCGTCCCCTACTAAATACCTGCTAGAAAGCCTTTTATCTTGCTGTCCCGCCCTTGTCCGTCTCGTAGCATTGCATCCTGTATCAGAAACGAAAAAAGAGTCGTTGTCGCTTTTCTTACTTGGCCACTTTGCGTGCGTACACAAGGCTGACACCTCCGCTGGTGTCATATGAGGTCTACGTGCCTAGTCTTTGGGCTGACAGCTCCAAATCTGTGAAGCGCATAAAGCCGTGGCAAAAATGAGGTCGCATAATTCACGCTTTCGGTGATAGCTCACTGAACTGATGGTCTGCGTCGCAACCCTTCGAGCCGCGCCCCCCTTCATCCCCATGACTGGCCTCAACAAGGATCAGCTGTCGTCCGTATATGTTGCTCCGTATATGTTGCTCCGTATATGTTGCTCCGTATATGTTGTTCCGTATATGTTGTTCCTGTCGTACACAGTCTCAGCAATGATGGCGAAAGTAGAATCTGACTTGGGGCTGTGGCTCTAACATTTTGCATTCTTCGAGCAGCCGGATCTCGGACGTGGAGGCCAAGGAAAGTTGTTCTTACTCTCCACCTTGCCTCTCGTCTTGCACTCCGTCAACATCCTCCGCATTTGACCACAGCCTGACCATGTCCGCAGCAGCATCTTCGAATGCGTCAGGCTCTGGAGCGTCTTCGCATTCTTCCACGCCTGGCCCAAATATGCCAGGGCAAGAGCCATCTAACTCGCGCCACCCACCAACCCAGAAAAGGCGGCGATCACAGTCCTTCGACACGGACGATTTGGACTCTGATTCCACAGGAGAAGACACTCTTGGTCCTCAGCTCGCGCCACCAATAGGCGATGAAGGGACGAGTGACGACGATGAAGATGTTGGACCACCGCCACCTCCTACTGCAGAATCAGCCTCTGCTTCTCTCGATGGTCCCAGAACCAAAAGGGTCAACGATCCCGGCCCAGACACCTTGCAACCGGCACAGAAGAAGAGAAGGGCAACCACTCTTGCACACCAGGCAACGTATCTCGCGGCGTTGCCGTCCTCTGATCGCTACTTCAAGTCGCTGATGCATCGGGACACGGTCAACTCGGTCACTGTTACTCCGCGCTCCAACTTTGTCATCACCACCAGCGTCGACGGATGGGTCAAGTTCTGGAAAAAGTCCTCGCTTGCCCCTTCGGCTACTGCGGCTTCAATGTCATCTAGACCCAGCAACGGCGTTCCGTCAGCGTCTACGCTCTTCAGCGGATCCTCTGTGGTGGAATTCGTCAAGCAATACCGTGCCCATCTTGCTCCCATCATCGCCTGGAGCTGCTCGGCCGATGGTGCATCCTACGCAACACTCGACGCTGAGGCCAACGTCAAGATATTTGATGTGGACAACTTCGATATGATCAACATGATCAAATTGCCTTACAAGGCACGTACCTTGGCGTGGGTTCATCGTCCGGGCAATGCGCGTACACTGCTCGCGATAACAGACGAAAGCTCGAGCCAGATTCGCATCTACGATGGCAGAAGCGCTCCGTCTCAGGCTAACAATAACGGCGCGGACGACTCGAAGCAGGACGACTCCGCCTCTTCAATGACGCCCTTCGGCTCTACCAGCACAACTCATCAACCGATCCTTACAGTGTCCAAGGTGCACCGTGCTCCCGTCCACATCCTTGCCTTCAACGCGCATCACAACGTTGTTGTTTCGTGCGACGTCACTGGCTTTGTCGAGTATTGGACTCCGGAGGAGCCTTTCTCGATCCCTTCGTCAAACAGAATCGCTGGCATTTTCGAGTTCAAGTCGGCAACGGATCTGTTCGAGTTCAAGAAGACCAAAACGGTTCCGACAACCCTCACGTTCTCGAGAGATGGCGAGAAATTTGCCGTATTTTCCATCTTGGATCGTCAAATTCGTATCTTCGACTTCCGCTCGGCAAAGGTCGTTCGACGGTATGACGAGAGCCTCGAAGCTGTCCAAGCTCTTCAAGCTTTGCCGCCGCCAGAGGATGCTCCTGGCACGCCGCTCGGTGAGCAGGAGGCAACAAGCATGACCGTCGATGCCTCGCAGCCTCGAGTCAATTTCAAGGTGGATCAGATGGACTTCGGACGCAGGATCGCATTGGAGCGAGAGATCTCGGCGTCGAGCGCCTCAGGCCCGCTCTCAGGACTCGCTAACGCCTCTTCTGCTGCGCTGTGGAATGTGTTGTTCGACGATTCGGGACATTTCATCATCTATGCATCCCTCCAAGGGATCAAATTCGTCAACTTGGTAACCGATCACTGCGTCCGTCTGCTGGGAAAGGACGAGAGCGTTCGCTTCATGCATCTTGCCCTGTTCCAAGGCGCACCGGACAAAAAGGTGAGCTCCCTCGCAGCGGCCGCCTCCGAGAATCCTCTGCTTGCAAAGCAGGGCTTGGTGGACCCAACCTTGTTCGCCACTGCTCACGGACGCGCGCGGTTCTACATGTTCACAAGAGTCGACCCGGATGCGATGAGTGCACCATCCACAGACGGAGCATCGGGTAGCGGTGCCAGCGAGAACCGCGATGTCTTCAACGAACGTCCGACTCGCGAAGAGCAGACCATCGCCTCGGCCACAGCCCTGACTGGCAATGGTCGCGGCCGCTTCAGTGCCGCAACCGGAGACAAGAATTCGTCAGGAGCCGGATCGAAACACACTTCGGCTACACTACACACCACCCACGGCGATATCCACCTGACGCTCTTCAATGAGCTTGTGCCCAAGACGTGCAAGAACTTCGTCGGGCTTGCCAAGAAAGGATACTACGACAACGTCATCTTTCATCGCATCATCAAAAAGTTTATGTTGCAGACCGGCGACCCTCTCGGCGACGGAACGGGTGGCGAGAGCTTGTGGGGCGGCAACTTTGAAGATGAGTTTCACCCGAGCCTCAATCACTCAAATCCTTTCACGCTAAGCATGGCCAATGCAGGACCAAACACGAACGGAAGCCAGTTCTTCATCACCACGGTTCCGACGCCGTGGCTGGACCGTAAGCATACCGTCTTCGGCAAAGTGGATGGAGGCGTCGATGTGGTGAAGCGCATCGAAGAGGTCAAAGTGGATAGCAACGACAAGCCCCGACAGGATGTGCGCATCATCAACGTCAGCCTTCGCTGATGTAGCTGCTGGAGAATCAAGTGCAGAGGAGACGTCTTCAAAACTTTTGCGCGACTTGAATGTGTCACTATGATTACAGAAAGTGTGCAACAGTCTATGTACCTTGTGTAAACGGTTGATGCTCGCGACGCGTTTTGCAATGCCTTCTTGGCTCAAGAAAGCGTCTTAATACCGGCGTCAAAGGTGCCTAGGAAGACGGCACCGCCCAATCCGATCCACATTGTGCGCGGGAGGAAGCCGCTGAAGAGCGTCTTTATACCCTCTGTACGCCCAATATGCAACAATGTCGGGATTATGTTTGTGTTGACACCGCGCGGGAGCGTCTCGAACATCGTAGCAGCAGCAGCAGCCGAGGAGCCGGATGCTGATTTCGTACCTGTGGCAGCTGCCTGCTTGGTGTGCAGCATGATGCGGGTCTTCACCACGTCCAGCGGTGTAGTAAGGCCGGCGGCGATTGCGCCTGCAATGCTTCCCGCAAGACCAGCTTGCCAAGTCGGCAGGTTGCGGACCAGCTCGAGATCCGATACAGACGTCAGAATACCGTCGTTGGCTATCGTGTCGATCGGAACGCCCTGGGACCGAAGCCTGGATCGAGCCATTTCGAGCTTGAGTTTCTCGTACAGGGGGAACTGGATGCAAGTGAATGGAATCTCACGGCCGACCGTACTGCCAAATCCTCGATAATAGCCGCGTAGACCTGCCTCTTGAAAGACCTTTGTGAATGCCTGAAAAGTTGTGGTACCCCTACCGTATGCCATGGTCTGCTGACGAGACTTGATCACCTCGGTTGGCACGCGGATGAGGCAGGCGGCAATTTCGGCGATCGAGGCAGCAGCCATGTGCACTCCAGCAGGACCCAAGGTGCCTTCGCCACCAAAAACACCTGGCGCCCACCGCACGAGTGCAGGCTTCATCGACTCATACGTGGTAAAGAAGACGGCGGCGCCAGGAGCCGAGCCGACGGCTGTTGAGGCGAGTCCACGGTAGACGCCGGAGAATCCGCCTGCTGCCCAAAATCCCTGTGCAGATTGCAGACGCGTCTTGATGGTATCTATTGGGAAGAAGAGCAGGTCGACGGTGAGACCAGACAGAGCACCAGCTGCGAGCGCCGAGGCGAAAGGTGGGCCGGTCTCCGCTGCGCTCACATCGGTCAAGTTGGCTTCGCTGCCTTCGAGCACAGAAGGGATGGAGCAATGTGGTGTCCTCGCCTGCGTCCGTGTCGGGCGCTCGTTCGCCAAACCAGCGGATGCTCCTCCCGTCCTGTTCATTGGGTCGTCGGAGCCCGGACTGAGATGGCCAGAACCGAGCCGAGCGCACGTGCCGCTGGTTGCTTAGGCCTCGTGTTGGAGCCAGCGCCGAGGCAGATGTGCAACGATCGATGAGCCTAACGAGCGAGGTAGACAGAGAAAGCGACTGCGGTTGTGATGGTGAGCCTCGAAGAGGCCTCTTGACGACAGACAGACCCCAAAAAAAAAGCTTCGGAAGAGCCTTGCAGCACGGAAACGCCGATAAAGGCCGTGCACAATTGCGCCGCTGGAAGAAATCGCGACCCTCGCGTGACTGGCGCCCAAGCTGGCTTAATTCTCATCTGCCATCATTGCTTGCTACCGATCAGCCCGAGGAACCTCAGTACAACGGTGGTCGGACGGCATAAGTCGCGATATTCGACTCGTGCGTTCAGCTCGCTCAACTGAATTCTCTCAGAAGCACCCATTGCGCTTGCTTATTCGAGGGATGGCAGAGGTCACGTATATTGTACAGTACAGCAAGGGAGCGGCAGGCCTTAAAGTATGAAGAATTTGTTACTGCTGTGCAACGCCGAACAGTCCGGTCAAGTAGCCCTCGTAGTCGTAGACAGCATCTTCGACACCGTCGACGCGCACCTGCGGCATCGCAGCTTTGAGGTAGTCGATTGATCCTTGCGGTAGCAAGGCGAGGCGCAGATCGAGCTCCGTGACGTAGGGCTTGTCGCCAGCCAGGCCCTGGAACGCCTCGAGCAGCTGATCGGGTGAGGTGGTGTCCTCGGTGATCTCGCGAAGGAAGGTGAGGAAGGCATCGTACGAGACGGCACCGAACGTCTCGCACAGCTGCAAGTGGATCTGGTCTATGTCGTCCTCGGTGTAGATGATGCCCAAACTGGCAAGTGCTGCGCCAAGTTCGGGAACGGTGAGCGTGTTGGAGGCGTCCTTGTCAAAGTAGCGGAATGTGGACTCAAACTCTTCGAGCTGGGCAGGTGTGAGGTTGGTATGCTGTCGCGAGACGATCTGGTTCTCGATGAAGGCCAGCTTCTTCGAGACGCTCGCCCGGACGAGCTCCCACTCGAAAGCAAGATCGCTAAGTGTAAAGATGGTGTGGTCGTTCTCTTCCACCTTGGCGTCGGTGCATTGCTGCTCGAGCGTCGTGATGAGCGTAAGCCGCTCTTTGATGGGGTCGAGTTGCGCCAGAAGATGCTTGACCACATCCAGCTGGGCTTCCAAGTCGCCCTCGAGGGTGACGATACCGCCGGCTACTTCGCGCAGCTGGCGCTCAAACGCGTTGGCAGCTTGTGCGAACTTGACTCTCAGGCTTTCCTTGGCGTTGCGGATCTCGGCATTAATGGAGCGACTTCGGTGCGCTTCCGCTAGCGCTAGCGTTGCCCACGCTGCGTCAAGTTCAGCCTGCCGGAGGCCCTGCTGCGGGAGCCATTCGGGAAGATGGTAGGTCTTGAGCTTTGTTTGGATGTTACCGAGAAGCGCTGCCAGGTCCGTCCTTTCACGCACCAGCTCGCGCTTGACGCCGATTTTGTACTCGTTGAACTGCGTCAGCTGCGAGCGAGCGTCGGCGTAGGTGCCTGCAAATGTGGCCGCGACCCATCCATTCTGAAGGTCGGACATTGACTCGACGAGCCGACGGGCCCTCCGCTCGTAATCTTGTTGCATGACCCAGGCGCCGTGCATGACGTCGGCGAAAGTAGCCACGCGACGGCTGACCACCTCGGCCTGCTCCATGGAGCTGAAAGCGTGGAAGTACTGTGCGACGTAGGTCATCACACTGCGCTCGTCCGGTTTGGGTCGATCGCAGAGATCCTCGACATCGAGCAGCTGTGGGATGCCGAGATGCTCCTCAGCGACTTGAAACGCTGTACGAGTGCAGGCATGAGGATCGTTTTTGGGCAGAGCGTCAAAGTTGAGCAAGTCCGGGCGGTGTCGATGAATCAATGCGCAAAGTGCAAGGCCGTCCTTGAAAGAGGTGGTAAAATTGGTGACTTCGACCTCCTGGTAAGGAGCTGTCTTTCTCTGGCACCACAAGAGGAGACCCTCCTTGGCCGTGACTCCCTCCTCGCTGATGTCGGCAATGGTGAAACGCAGAATCAGCGTCCAGATCATGCCGAGGATGAGCTTGAGATTGCCGTCGACGATGTCCTCGGCGCCGACGTTGGTCAGCACGACACCTCGGCTCTTGATGAACTCCAGGGCGAGGTTGACGTTCTCGGCCTTCTGTACACGCATGCGCGGATTCATGTAGAAGCGGCCGAGCGAGGTGTCTCCCATGATCTCCATAAGCTGTACGAGCTTGACACCATCGGAAAGATCTGTGGCGAGCGATCGCATAGGGGCAATCTGCCTAGCCTCGAGCTTGGTGTTGAGCCTGTTTGTAGGTGCCGAAGGAGCGAGCTTGTGTCAGCGGCCGAGATTCGAAGATCATGAAACATCAGCGGATCAAAGCTCTGTTAGCTCGTCTTACCATTTTGTGAAGGTCTTTGCCTGGACCTCCTCCCAGCCTCGATCCTGATCGGGCAGGCCGACAAGAACAGAGGATCGTTTATACGCCATCAGTGGGCTGCACGCAGCTCGCCAGCCTAGACTGGCTGCAACGTTCGGTAATGCCGACTTGCAACGGAAAAGAGGAAAGCTGACCCGAGGGAATCGCAGTTGTGTCTTTCGGGACTACCGGCACGTTGAGTAGCACGGGAGGGACAGATTCTGCGGGAGTCGGCTTGAGCGCTGACAATCGCGGTTACGAACGAGCTCTCGTATGTGGTGAGGGGTTTCGAGTGGTGTTGCATGTATGTGCTCGACGGGCAGTGTGGGTGATGGCACAGTCTCCACTTTGAGTGGCCAGCCCGTGGCTCCGCCTTCGGGCTGCGGCCTAACGTGTTGCTTTTTCAGGCACTTCAGCTGCTGCGTGCAATCAAAATCTCAGAAGATCATCACCAAGTTGCCGAGAAAACAAGGGTTCGCATCGGTCTCACGCGTCAGACCCTTGAGACCAACACCTGACCGTGGCTCTCCAACTTTTTTCATGTGTGTTTGTTAAACCCAATCTCCCCTCACGACCGCTTTGCGAGCTGCGTAATTCACACGGCGCATCTCAACCCACACGCTACGTTGCAGTTGTGTGCCTTGCAGAGAAGCGACCACAGCTTGAGAACAGCAACCTTCTAGCGAGCGCCCACGTCATAGAGTCTACAACTCGTCAGAGGCAGCCCATTCGCCCGTCGGCGCTTCGCCGATCCGACGAACCGGGGTGATGCGTACGCAGTCCTGACTGGAATCTGATGAAATTGGAGCTCCAGGTCGGGGCGGTGCTCCGATGTCACGGAACGATTTTCGGTCTGACAACCGACTTTGTGAGGACGCGTGGGAAAAGATGCGCTTGACTGCATGTCATCCACATGCTGTGCGCCAACAAGGGTCTCATTCGAGGAACTTGGACTGCATCTTTAGACTACAATTGTGCGCCAGCTGCAGCTTTCTCGATTGCCTCCAATTCCGGTCGCAGTGACGACCAACATCACCTTCCGGCAACGGCATTGGCCCCGACACCGTTCACTGCATCCACATCGTCGCACACGGCAGCCCAAATTGCGTCGCTGTCGGCAAACGCGCTGATACGAGCTTCTCTGGCGTTGACGCCGACATCAGCGGCACCTTCACACCACCGGCGTCACTCCGGCGTACCATGTCGGTTTCCTGATGGACGCCGCGATGTGCCACTTCGTCTAATCCTCCCTCCGACAGTGCTACAGCATTCCGACCTCACAGAGACATCCTTAGTGCTTGCCTCGGTTTCTGCATCGGTATCGAGCCTGCTGTCGCCCGAGGCAGCAATCGAAACACGCTTTCTGTCGGCTTCGCAACTTCACTGCAACCATGAAAGCCATCTTGTCTAATTTTGGTAGGCGCGTCGACATCAACAGGCAACACGAGCCTAAAGATGCTGCTTACAACTTAAAGTCGGCAACGACTTCGACCTCCGCAAACGGCTTGCATTTCCACCAATCCTACTCGTCCTTTGGCACTACAGGCGGCGGCATCGGCGACGCTCCTACCGATCATAGGGCAATCATCAACCTCGATATTTCCAGCAGCCAAGGGTATTCCAACTTCTCGAGCTCGTCTCCAAGGTCCTCGCCATCCGCACGAGCTAGTGCTGAGAAGAGCAATCTCAACGAGCAATTTTCACACGGGAGCACATCGGCAACACGTGCTCCAGCTCATCCACCATCGAGCTACAGGCATCCTTCGAGACACGATGGCGGTGCACAAACAGGGTCTCGCGGTCTCGTGAGAAAGCTGTCCAGCTCTAGCGGTAGGGCTTCCCTGCAGTCGACATCTAGTACTTCCGCTCAGTCCGAGCATCCCTCGAAAGCCTCGAAGGACCGTGCCAATCTGCGAGGAGTCACAACCCGGTCGCGCAACGGAGCGACCTCATACGCCACCCCTCCTACCCCTCTGCCCTCTAGCGACCGAGATCTCAACCATAGCGTCGCCAATGCCGACATCTCTATCATGACTTCGTCAGAACTCGCTCAAAGACTCAACGAGCTGGCAGTGGCCAATGCAGATGGCCTGCTTTCCGAGGACGAATATCGTACCCTGCGTCAGGCCGTCTTTGACAAGATGATGATGACCGACAAACAAGCTTTGGCCATACCGACAGACAGCGGACGAACGGGTTACGGTTTGTCGAACCAGGAGCAGTCTCGTAACGCCGCTCCCGCTGATCGCATCCCGGGCGGTACAGTCTTCCTGTCTGCCGATTTGCTCAGTGCCGACGCCGAGCGCTCCAAGTCCTCCCTCGGTCACCACGCCAGCTCCATACGCAGCGGCCGCAGTGCAAAGTCGTCGAGTTTCCAGAATGTCACAAATTTCTTCAGGGGCAATTCTTCAAACTCCAAAGCCATGCATCCCCAGACCAGCCAAGACTCCCATTCGAGTCAAGACCGAGCTGCTCCCTCCTTACGCGATTCTGAAGGAGCGTCCTCGCAGCATTCGAGCGGGGATGGGAACTCACGTCGCGCCCTGTCGTTCCGCACACAGCACTCGTCCGCAGCAAGATCGTCGTCACGCATGTCTACCTTGGGCCGTCTCAGAGCAGGGAGCCACGCACGACGCGAACAGGCCGAATATGCAACTCGCGAACTGGAGGACACTTTTTCAGCCCAACGAACCGCGCGTTCGCTGCGCGCCGTGTCCATCTACGATGCCGGCAGCACTGACCTCTCAAAGTCGGGTGTCGCCGTCCATAACAGGTCGCCGACGTCTCTGCGGGCAGAGATCGCTCCCACAACCATGTTTGGCGCCGAGTATGTCGACAAGACCACGCAGGAGATCCGAGCAGAAATTGGCGTGGTCCAGACCGAGGGCAATCGAATGTTGGAAACATTTGCGGCACTCGAAGACGCGCTCTTGGCAAAGCAGACCTCGCTGGATGCGCTCTCCGTGTCAAACGTGTTGGAAAGGGTACGAGCAGCCAATCCCTTGGCATGCGCCACGGGTCTCGATGATGCGGATCGGCACGGTAAAGGGGCGCGTCATCAACGCCCACCACCACCTTCGTCGTACCGCATGCCCCGCTCAGCCGACACTGCTAACGGCTCTAACAATCACATCTCAGTTGAGGCTTCGGTCTCAGAGGACGTAGCGGTCTTGCATGCCAAACTGACCAGCATATATACGCAGAAAGCTGCCGTAGTGAAGCGATACCAGGACCGACTAGCGTTTCTGGCAAGCAAGCTACGATCAGCAACGATTCGCGAAGGACTCAAATGAGAGCCTGACTGTTGGGCATGCGCGCAGACCCAGATCCGCCGACACTTGCATTACGGGTGACTGCGTCTTGCCAACGATCCCCTTCACTTGTACTTTTGCTTTCGTCCTCGCTACGGTAACAAATCCCACGTGTAAAGGCACAAATTGGAGCATCACGAAGACGCAACTGAAGAGCTCGCACGTGATATCACGAGAGCCTTTGACGCCTTTTGGGCAGCTGCGACATGAGTTTGAGATTTTGTGATTTCGTGGGTGTCTGTATGCCTGGTAGCGGATTGGCTGAGCCTGAAAGTGACATGGTAGGGCCAACCGGTTGCGAGGATGCGGGCGCTCTAGAAAGTGGATCGGCTGACTTTGTCGAGGACGGTGTCGTAGCTGACTTCGGAAAAGTCGGTGCCCTGGATCTCTGCAGAGATGCCGACGAGCGCCTTTCGGAGAGCGTCTTTGGAGGAAGCGAAGACCATCTTGGGCTTGATCCTTGCGTCATCGGGCGACCAAGAGAAGAAGCAGATCTTGTTACGTTTGCCCGCATCGCCCTTTTCGTACTCGAAGTCGTAAATGGCGTATCGGCACTCGGTAGGAGGAAGCTCGGCAAGGAAGTCGTCATACGAGGTGGAAGTCGAGGTGTTTTGGACGATGATCTCGGTGTTCTTGTCGTTGAGGCTGTAGATGATGTACTTGATCTTTTTGCCGAGCTTGAGCTCCTGGAACTTGTCCAGACACTCTTGGGAGACTTTGACACCGGAGGACTGTGGACGATGTCGGAGTCGCGGCGAAATCGAAGCGTTTGCGGAGATGTCGAGCAGACACGAACAGGCGTTTCGCAGGTCGAGGGTGGCCAAGAATCGTTAGAAAAGGAACAGGGATAAGGGATCTCCAATGATCAGCATGACTCCAGACTTGCAAGCCTACAACGTTCAGCGACCGTCCACCGAGTTCGGTCGGTCTAGCGAGCTCACCATTTTGCAGTATCAGATACAAGTGATGGGGGAGGGACGTGGATGGGGGTGAATGACTTGGAAGTGGAGATGTCGATTGAGAATGATAACGAACTCGGAAGAGCGCGAGGACGTGCGCGGTGTTTTGTCGTTACTGCGTGCGAGCTGCTGCATCGCCGTCCAGGTGGAGTCTGAGTCCTCAGCCAGGAAAGCCACCGTTGATTCGCGAAGAGAGACCAACACACATCGACAGGCACAGCCTCGACTGGCTGCTTTGCTGCTGCTGCTGCTGCCGCAGAGCGTCGTATCGCCGATTTCAAGATCGAGCAATTCAATACAATTTCTGAAATGACGAGCGACCAAGTGTTTAGTCGCTTGTATTCGAGATGGAAGAAACCTCAACAACAGGGTCATCCAGTATAGCAGCTCAGGGGGGCTAACTCCTTGACCAAAAACCAATGTTAACGCGCAGTGATGAATAAAACCTGGAAAACACAAGCTGTAAGGCCGGCGGCAGCGTACACGATCGTTTAAAACAATACGCGGCCGAGAGCGATCGATCCGACGACTTTGTTTGCGTTGCGGGTCCGAAGTTACCCAAAAGCTCATTCAGCTCAAGTTTCTTGAAAGCACACCACCCTCGTCCTGCAGCACAATGCCAGGCACCGCCAACCAGCGCGATGGTACGGCACCGAGATGAACCGAGGACTCGGTCAAAGGTTGTGTCTACTGGAATGTGCGCGCTGAGGGTGCCAGACTCGGGCCCTAAAAAAAGAAACAGTCTCAAAGCTACAGCTGGCAAAGATCCGGGAGTCAGATCAACTTGGCTTGCAGCGGGAAACGCACGCACATTCGGCTAATGTCCCGGCCCGCTTTTCCCGGCGTAAGCGAGCTGTGCTACATCCTGTAGCTCATCCAAGTCACCGTGGTGGTGACGGCCCCGGGTCATGCTGCGCGCGTCCGTTGCTCTTCCCACCACCGACCTTCCGACGTGACAATGTCCGGTAGACAAGCTCGACATCTTGAACATTCCGCCGTCGAGGGAACGGGAAGGTGCATGGTCAATCTTGTGCAATGGCCCAGGTTGGGCGGGGTCGTCTGTCAAGGGAGGCGATCAGCATCGGAGGCCGGACTTAGTTGCGGTGGCGCACCTGCACACGGGACGGGGATCCAGCCTCCAGCCGAGCTCTTCTTGTTTCGATCCAAAAAAGCAAACCAAGCCAAGACTCCTTGGCGGCTGGGTGGGCTGAGCACGGCCCTAATCTAATTCCAACGGTGGACTGATTGGTTCGTGCCGGAACCTCGCCTACGTCGGCGATGCATGCTACACACGTGAAGCCACCATTGTGTTCCTGTGCAACCCGATGGACTGGAGCACGCCGAGCCAATTTCATGCCAACCCGTGCCGCTTCGCTTACGCAGGCGAGCCTGTTTGCAAGGCGGTGAGAGCGATAAAATATAATACTAACGCCTGTCTCCATGGATGATCCTAATGCGTCCGATCAGAACGGTCTTAGTAGCTACTCTGAGACGCTGGCCGGCACCATCGTCCCTGGTCGCGTATGAACCTCAAGGTCAGATCTGATCGCCAATTCAGGCTTTTGTCGTGATTGCGGGAGATGCTGGCAGCAGAGGTCGATGGAAGACGCCACGGGGTCCTTGCGGTCTCGCGATGCTTCCGTCGGATCAATCCAGCTCGCGGACGCCTATTGCCGAAGAGGAACTGGTCCAAGACGGTGAGACTTAAGATACTGAGCTTCCATTACACACCCGGAAAACACGAGCCCGTGCCGGACGGAAATTCGTGCAAGCGAACGCTGTTACTGATCGGTACGTCGCAAGGTAACTGCAGTACGAGTAGCGTTACCCGATGTTAGTCGGGGGAATTCCGAGCGCCTAACAATCTTTGAGCTTCAGTAGACAGGGCGTTGCGCAGAACATGAAAGCAATGGAAGCGATGCGACGCCGGCGTTGATTAGTGTTGCCGACAGTGAGATTTTCCCCTCTCGCTGTTCCGAACAGTGAGCCCGCATCGCATCTCAGATTCGTCCTGCATTGGTTGAGAATTGCGGGCAGAATGCATGGACGGTATGAGTCATTCGCTCCGAAGCTAACGGAGGTGGCCTAACGCGAGACACGTTAGCACTCAAGCACAGAGCAGGAGAGAGACGGCCAGACCAAACTACTATAATCGCGAGTATGCATTACGCAATCTCGCGGTTTTGAACGGAGGAAACGTGTCAGATGGTTTGCAATGCGCGTTCAAACTTCAAACGAAGATGCTCTGGGGCCGATCCGAAACGAGATGGGGCGCCAACAGCTTGCTCCTCACAGGACAAATTCGGAGCTACAAATGGCCCGCATCGAAAAGCACACCATTCCGGGACCTTTTCGGAGGGCAGAAGGGCATGAGATTCAAAGTCAGCCCTAGTGAGATTCCTTCTCGGGCTGAAACCTCCTGCAGAAGCAGGTACGTAGGGACTGTACATCAGCATGTCTCAGAGAGACAGAGAGAGTCACCAGCATCCATGGATCAACTCTAGCACGGCGGGAAAACAGTCTGGGAAAGGCTGGCTACTCTTTCCCATGTGCCCTTGCCGAACGGAGTGCGAAGATTGGATCGCAGATGGGGACGGAACCGTAAGGATGCGTTTGCGTCTGCATCTGGACAGCGTGCACAGCTGCAGGTATGAGTGAGTGAAGCGGGCGGTCCGCGTGCTTAGGTATCATTGTGTGTACCGCGAGAGGCGGTGCTTCTACCGTGCTCGGGGTTTGCATGAATCACAGGACAGTCTGGTGGACGACAGGTGTCCAGCGCCCCAGCTATGCCTCCTCCAAATCCCCACAGCACAGCACAGCACAGACAGTCGGATCCGATTGGAAAAAGCGCTTGGCTGTTCCCCTGTCTTCAGTCAAGTGCTCGCGGACCCAGCAAGATTTACGTCAGGGCAGAATCAAGACGCGGCCACAGCGGTGTCCAGGGGCCAAACGGTACCAGTGCGTCGGACAACTGCAAAGGCTATGCCTGGAGGAACTGGTAGCGAGCGCATGATTCCGCGCGTCTTTTCAATTAAGCCCCGTAGAAGGTCCTTGCTACGGGCTCGAGAGGACATCTGTTCGTCAGCGACGACCCGGACGAGCTCAGTCCGATAAAGGATTGGAAAGATTCGCATCACGAGTGGAGCTTTCGAAGGCCGGCTTGCATGATGCATTCCGCATGTTGCAATCTGCGAGATTTCCAATGCGGCAGAAGCAGCCACCGCGCTGGTAGGAACCTGAGCGATACCTGGTTGTCTGCACAGACGAATTTCGAATAGACTAACAGAGAAGCAGCCTTGCATGTGCTCCCGCAGAGCCGCCTGCCGCACATGTGGCTGCCTCTCCCGATATCATAAACTTTGGATAGTCGGCATGATCCGCTCGCCAGGAACCAAATTTGGAGTGCCGGATCTAATTTATTGCTCCCATTGAACCAGTTCTGTGATGCTAGTCTAGCGGCCTTTGGGTCAAAGTGGATGTCCATGTCAAAGATGCAGTTGATGCCAACCAGTCATTCAGAAAAGAGAATTCGCGGAGGGTGCAGACTCGTCCCGGTTCGCGTTCGCAGTGATCCTGGGAGCAATTCATCAAATCAAGACATTGTCTGTGTCGGCATTTGGGTAGCAGGAACTTAGCATCGCCCGGATCATGTCTGCAAAGTTCAGATGACAAGATCGACACGCCTGTCGCTATGACTTGCTGATGATGACAGCATTGTGTTTTCGGAGGGTTCGTCTTTGCGTTTGAACTTGTTGCTGACGGCTCTTGTGTTCATGGAGTCAGCGAAGCATCAGATGGCTGCACGAGCCAAAACAGAAGCTGTTCTTTCAGCTGCCTCGGCTAGATGAGAGTGGAGCGCGCTAATGTGGTACAATTGCACACGGGCCCCGGACCCCGTGAAGCAAACGGAGGTTGTTCACCTTTCTCGTCACAGGTCTCGCAGAGAGCGGGGCGAAAAGAACAAAAGCAAGAACGATGCCCCATGAAAGGACGAACACAAAGGGCGTGTCAGTGCAGCTCGGCCCCATCTGTTTTGTGAGTGTGACAGTGATCCGACATCGAACAAGTCGGAGTGAGAAACGGGAGTGGTGAAAAGCGGAAGAGCGGAAGAGCGGATGCTGTCGCAAATCGGTGTGTTTACAACTCCGTCAGGTTCACAAGCCGGTTCCGATGACATGAATGCCCCGGTTGGATTTGCATGTACTTGGCCCTCGGCGCAAATGTCTACTACAGCAATTAGTCCCGTGCCAGGGCGGAAGAATGCGCCCGGCAACCCGTTGCGGGCTCTCGACCCACCTCAGCGCACATTTGCGGCGGCGTGTTGACGGCGAAAAACCACATAACGTCCAGGAGGAACCAGCTAGGACGTCGTTCGCACAAACAGGTGTAAAAGATTCGGAGCCGGTTCGATCCAGCCTGCTTGATTCCAAATTGCAAAGTCGGCCTCGTATCCCAATAATAGGGTACAGACAAGACGGGCATGCAGACGCCAGCTCGACTCAAGTTGCCCACCCGACCCGTGCTTGCTTGGCTCGGCTCTGAAGTACGTAACTGCGAATACAACGCAGGCTTGGCCGCTTCCGTGGTGGCAGAAGGGCTTCGGCATAAGCACGCCTTGCCACCGGCGAAGGGCATGACAGTTGACTGTGCTCATTGGGTCACTTTGACGGCCAAAAAGAGGTGGCGCCCTGTCAGGAAGCTACGGTCGACTCCGAGTTGCCAGCTTCCAAATATAGAAATCGGCTACTGGACAGCCCTGTCTACCTGCAGAAAAAGGGGGTCAAACACGAAGCAGGTTAGCCGATACTTGGCCGCCTGCTGAGTGATTATTTGAGCATGTGAGAGTTGATCGTTGGTCATGCCCATCTCAACTCGGCAGATCTCTGATGCCGCTTTAAATATTTATTTCTTCCCCTTCCTTTTTCTTCGTAATTCCAGAAAGAGCCGCGTCCTGGGAGAACTCTCGAAGCGAGCTTGACTTCTTGTTTCGAAGGGTAACAGCACCCGGATCTCGTCCCGTCGGGGTGGCTGAAAATCGACCAAGACCGATTGACGGCCAGACTAGCATGCAACGGGGAGTACAGCGTACAGTGTACCATGTACAGTTTCGACGTTCTCAACTAAATGGAGCTTCGGTCGGACTCCGAACGCCAATTGAATGAAAATGTGAAGTTCGACCGTCCACATCCGTCGTGGTTTTCTGTGCTTCTGAAGCTCGTTGTTGGGGGAGTGGAAAGAAGCCTTGCCTGCGAACGACTAGTCTGAGGCGCCCGTTGCGAGCGATGGATGAGGGACGGGGTAGTCTTGCGATGTCTCCGAGGCACCCCGAGTGCCTTCGAAATTTCTAATCGTCGAACATTGTGCATACAGCCGTTGATGTTTGGTACATTACAGACGCCGGGCTGACACGCTCAGCAGAAATCAATCAAGACGTGATGTTCGCTCCGCAGCTGAAACGTCTGCTCCGCTGCAAAGCGCTTCGAGATCCGCAGGTCTCACCCAGACATGACAGAGTAATCAGAACCAGCTACTGTATTTCGTGCAGGTCACCCTTCGCCGACTACAACACAGAGCCATTCCTCCCTGAATTGCCCCAAAACTCACGATTCGGATCGGTTTTCGAATGCCTCCGCATCTCATCAGCATCAGTTGCCCTGCACTAATCTATGAGGCTGGTAGGCTGGAAAAGGACCGGAGACAAAACAGACCTTTCCGAGAAAGCAAAGGCCAGAGTGAGCGCAAAGGAGCGTGAACGCAAATGTTAAGTCAACGTTTCTGGTTCAGATGCCGGCTCTGGTAAGATCGGCTCTTTCGGGTCTTGCTCGACTCTCCGCTTCGTGGCCTGTCTTGCTTTGCATACTCGACTTTGCAGCGCATCTGTCTCTCAACCGCATTTTCGGGTCCCATCGCTGCAGCATGAAACACCCCGTCTCACAGCTTGCTCTCACCTGACCGTGCCGCTCATTCCCGCACGTTTGCCTTCGTTAGATTCGACGACGTGCATCAACGACACCCAAATGCCATACTCCGCCTCTGCCGCGGCAGCTTCTCCGCCTACCACTTCGAAAGGCTTGACTTTTTTGCGCTTTTTTTTTTTTTGGATCTAACCTCATTGACACCCTTGCTCCAGTTTGCCTTTCTGGGTGGGATGGTTTTTGCATGTGTCGCTCCTACGCGGTGCGTGGAAAGTCCGTGATTGATGTTTCTTGCCTGTCTCTTTTCTTCTGTCTCGCATTGAGACGAGCGCTGCATGATCACTGCTGACTGCGTGCGTACCTCGTGTCTACATTGTTCCTGCTTGGCGAGCCCCGCCTGATTCGCTGTGCATTCTTGCATTACCGTTTCTTTCCTCCTCCTTTCTGGGCAGTGCCGTAGCACATCACTCCTCAGGTTCCGCATGGGAAGGGCAGCCCATGATCTCGCTAATCATAGACGCTGTGTGCGACTCTGCGTAGCGACTAGCTACACCACTCATGCATGGATGGCATCTTGTCTTGAGCCTGCGCCCTCTTCGAAAGGCTCCGCCGTTTCCGATTCTTCCTACAGTAGTCTGTATCTCAGGGAAGTTTACCGACACCGCTCTTTTCCGCCTTGGCCTTGCACTTTCTGTGTGCTCCTCACTAATCTGCTGCAGGCGCAGCGGCCATCTGCTGGAGCCATTGTAAAGCCTGTTCTCTCTCTTTGGCCTCCCTTCTCCTTCCCCATCGCCATTCGATGGGTTAACGAGCATCCTTCATCCCGTCCCAGCCTCGCCACCCTCCTCAGCATATCACTGCAACTGTTGTCGCCTGCATTCTCGTTTCCATCGACACCATCGGTCCTTCGAACGTCCACCTGGTCTTCCATTTGTGTCCTGAGCTGACCTCGCCAACAGCTACTCCTTCATAAGCACGACCTTTACGAGGTCTCGCGAACCTTCGCTGCAGTCAGCCATTTCTCGAAAAGGTCACCCTCCACCGTCACTTGTGCTCCGTCTCTCGAGCTAGCCGGAGTTGGGTCCACAAAATTGTCACGATGTTTCCTAGTCGAGCCCTCGAAGGCGATCGCAAAACGCTTCCACCCATTTCATCACTATCTTCTCACCCTGCTGACGTTGCGAGTCAACTGCCTGCACGCATAGACGAAGCAGCGCGAGGCCGAAGACCACCTTCGGCACTTGATCATCGACAGAGTCCTCCCCCTGCGCTTCTGCCGCGCCCGCCTCAAGCACGCGAGGTGGAGCCACTTCGACCCGGTGGTTTCCAACGTCCGGGTGACGAGCCATACAGGCCATCTGCAAACGTCAAACTCTCTCACGGCGGTCCTCCACCCTTCGTTCAAGGCCATCGCGATTTGGAACGCGGCTCGCCCGCTTCCGACGAAGGCGCGTGGCGATCTTACGACAGGCAGGATGCTCGTCCCGGTGTCAAGGACCCGTACAGTCCTCACATGCTGCCAGCTGCTTATGCGCACAGGCAAGATGCTCGTTCAGCACCCTGGCAACGTCCCTCGGACGATCCGCATCGACCTCGTATGCCTGGTCCTCCAGTAGCTATGCGTGAAGACGGCCCGTGGAGATCAACTGGTACTTCCCAACAAGCAAGGCTTGACGTTCATTCTGACGCCTTTGCTCACGATCGTGTACGAGAGGAAGATAGATGGCGTGATGAGCGAGGAGTAATATTTACGTACCCTCACGAGTCTGGACCTGGCTTTGCGCCCGCGCCGCCGTATCCGCACACGCAAGTTGAGCGGTCTGGGAGGAGACCATTCGATGCCGACGTAGCCGATGACGGGCGGCGCATCCGACGTCGGGCAGGCTCGGGAATGGTCGAAGACGAGCACGATGCTCACAGACATCCCCCGCCAGGGCAACGGCCATACGGTTCTGGACTCTACAGCCCTCCCGAATCTAGGAGTCACAGCGCCGCGCCGGGCCAGCTGCCGATGAGGGCCGGTATGATGGTCGGCATGGAACCACCACGGCCCAACACGTCGCTTGGCGTCACACCTTCCGCACCAGTTCCTGGCAATTCGCAAGCATCCTCAGGCACCAACACGGTCAATGCCAACAGAAGGGTGGCCCACCTGCTGTCAGAGCAAAAACGTCGTGAGTCGATCAACACCGGATTCGAAGATCTGCGCCAAGCCATTCCGGCGTGTCGAGATGGTCAGGACAGCAAAGCGACCATCCTGAAGCGTGCGCTCGAGTATATCCGCGAGCTCGAGGGCGTGGTGGAGAGGCACCATCGTCTGCCCGCCGAAGGCCACGCGCTCGGTGGCTACAGCAACCGCAGTCCGCCCGATGACAAGGACGACCTTCGTCGCTTCGGCCGCCACGGTGACGATGCTCGTCGAGGTCTCGGTGGTGCGAGGCAGATGACCGGCGGCAGCAACAGCAGCAGCGGCAGCAACGAGACCGGCGCTGTTCCTAGGATCGGGGGTCTTCCCTCCAATGCCTACGGCAGCACGGCCTCTGTTGATTTTTCGGCCACCTCGCCTGGCCTGTACTACACTGGCGAGTATCGATCTTACGGTCCTTCCCGCTTCCCTGCTGTTGCCACCGATGGGGCGGCAGCAGAGATCAGCAGAGGCGCGATCAACGCATCCAACGATGTCCGCAGCGCACCCTCAAAGCGATACCTAGACGACTCTGACGAAGACCAGCGATTACCTTCCCGTCGACGGGTGTCGGATGGCGACAAGGATGACGTGCAGTCCTCGCCACCTCGCCCAAACTACACGATGACTCGTCCAGCACCCCACTCGCGTTCGCCAATGATGCGTTCGCCTCCCATAGAGAAGCCACGCGACTGGCATGCTCGCCTCGAAAACAAGTCGCTGGTCGACTCTGCGGTTCGAGCATAGTGCAAAGCAACTCGTACGCTCCTCGCCCATTTTTCAGCTAGATCATGGGCTTCCAAACTCGATGTCATTGTCGGCCAACCCTAGGCCGCTTATCTATCGTCCCTCTAATTGTAGCCTAATATTGCTGATCGTCACCGAACATTTCCTGTATATTCGCTCGGAGGACAACATGCACGTCACCTTAATGGATTCAAGTCACCACATACATGTAACTCGCTTCTCTTCAATGATTGATGGACGATGTGCGTCAACCAACCAGCATAGTCACGGTTGAAGTGCACGCCGTGAAGAGGGAAAGAAAAAAAAAACAAAAGGAAAAAAATTTAATAAAAAAAATATTAGAGGGGACCAAAAAGCTGCACAGCAGCCTCCACCCTGCACGCATAGCTGCAGTTGAAAGGCGTGAGCGATTGATGGTCAAAGCACAAAGGGCACCTGCTCGGAGACCCTGAATTTGTTACAACACCTTGGCTGCTACCACCAACCAACCCACTCGAATCATCCGACCACGTTCGAACTAGACCAGCGATAGCTGACACGTAGTCGCCGCCGCAACTACTGCTGGGCTCGCTGAGAGCTTCAGTCTAAGCTTCTGCGACTATGGCTCGATCGACGATCATTCATCACCTTACGTTGCTGCTCACTATCCTTCAGCCACTGACGCTGGTATCTGCGAACGCGCAAGACAACTCACAAGTTTTCGCCATCAGCAACCACCCCGCATGGGCATCAGCAAGTCGTCAAGCAGCATACGTCGAGTCTGTTCCCCCGCCGCCATCCACTCCGCGTGAGGCACGAAAGGGTCGTACCCGTAAGGTGGCCATTATCGGCGCAGGACCTTCCGGCACTTCTGCGGCTTACTTTCTCAAACATGCCCAAGATCAGCTTTCTGCCTCGAGAGATGCTTCCATCGCCAAAGACAAGCTCGACATCACCATCTACGAACGCGAAACGCGCATCGGTGGCCGAACCGCCATCACCTTTCCGTATGACGATGATTCACAGAACCCGGTCGAGCTTGGTGCAAGCATTTTTGCCGATGTCAACTTGAACATCCGACGAGCAGTCAAAGATTTCAAACTCGAGACCGGAGCCAAGATGGGTCTATCAGGTCAAATGGGAATCTGGGATGGACAGCAGTTCCTCTTCGAGGGAGACCAGAGCAGTTGGTGGACAAGCGCCAAGTTCTTCCTGCGCTACGGATACAGTGCCATCACTACCGAGAACATTGTCAAGAAACAGCTCTCTTCCTTTGCAGGCCTTTACGATCCGACTTTTCTTCACGCGCGCAAAGGAGCTAACGATGCTAGCATCTCCGGCTATCCTTGGTCGACCATCGAAGATCTCGCAGCGGCGATCAATGCTACCTCGCTGGTGCAAACGACCGGAATGCAATTCTTCAAAGAGCGAAGGGTATCCGAGCTCTTTATCGAAGAGATGGTGGAAGCAGCTACACGCGTCAACTACGCGCAGGACACAGATCGGATTCACGGATTTGGCGCATTGGTCAGTTTAGCAGCCTCCGGAGCCACCGGTGTCAAGCACGGCAACTACCGAATCTTTGAAGAGTTGGCTCGGCGAAGTGGTGCGAGAATCTTGACAGGAGTCGAGGGTCAAGTGACGGGCATCGTTCGTTACGACAGTGCTGTTTCGAGAGGAAAGGAACAGATAGCATTTGAGGATGAAGGGGGGAATGGAAAGCAGCAGGTGCAATGGTATCTAGGCACAAAGAGCGGCGAAGGTGAATTGTACGATGCAATTCTCATCGCTACTCCCTGGCACAATGCGGACATCACGTTGCTCAATACGAGGGAAAGGGTCAAAAGCAAAGCCTTCGTCCATCTGCACGTTACTCTTTTGACGACAAGTCGAGAGAGGCCAAGACCGGAGTACTTTGGGCTGGGAGATCAGGATGTGGTGCCCACCACCATTCTGACCTCCAGCGAAAGTGTGAGGCGTGCTGCTGCAGGAAGCAAGAAGCCGGCGACGCCACCCGAGACTCCGCCACCGTCGGACAAGCCGGACAAAGAAGCCACCTCTGAGGCACTCAAGAAACCGAAGTTGGACTTCTTTTCGCTCAACTACCTCCGATCTGTCACACCGCCTTCTTCTACTTCCTCTGACTCTGCGAAGGAGTACGTCGTCAAGATCTTTTCAGCCGAGGCCATCACCGACGATCAACTCTCACGTCTCTTTGGCAACACAATTTCGTGGATCAAACGACACACGTGGGACTCGTACCCTTATCTGACACCCACTGATCGATTTCCCAGGGTAGAGGTGGACGAGAATCTCTACTACTGCAATGCCATGGAGAGCCTGGTATCCACTATGGAAACCTCGACAGTGGCGAGCAAGAACGCCGTAGGGCTGTTGTTGAAGAGCTGGTATGGGGATGAGTTTGTCAATGGCAAGGACTGTGATTGGTCCAAGGGCAAGGACCCGGTGGATAATGAGAATTGGGCTGGGTGGGGATGCGATTCTGGTTAGCGAGCGGCTCTTGATATGCAGGCTTCAGAGACAACATCCTTCTACGAAGAACACGCTGCCCAACAAGTGTAGATGGCTGACCGTCACATGATGCTCAGAGTCGCACTCGCTTGAAGGCGTGAAATCGAGATTGGTGACCAAAATTTGTGACATGCGATGCGACGAGAGGATGCGAACTGCGAATGAGGTGCATTTGAGCGAAGCTGGTACGTGAGCGAGCGGGGCGCAGGATCGATTGATGTCAAATGGAACAAAGTAGGGAGAGTCCTCGGGACCACATCATTGCTGCGCAGCCTGTACGACGATGGCACATGATCGAAGACCTTGCAGCAGCACGCCCTCGGTCACAGCGCCCAGGCAATTTCCAATAGCACGGAATTCCTCGCGCAGCTCATCCGGCAGCGGCGATGCGTTTGAAGCAAGTTGGTCGGCATGCATCTTGTCGACTTCTTGTCGGAACTCTTTGGGTCTTTGGTTCCATTTTCCCCTGCCGACCAAGATCATATCCTGTTGATCATCCAACAGCGGCAAGAGTATGCTACTCATGGTGTGGATGGGGGTATTGGAAGAGTCAGACGTCGAGGCAAGCGTAACAAACACGATGCCAGCCTCGGTACGAGCTTCCAGATCTTGATGCGCGTGCGAAGGCCTCGCTGGCTTCTCGTCTTCCGCTTGGGAAGAGCTAGATGTGGGAACAGCAGCTTCAGAACGGTCTGCCGTGGAAGCTACAAATTCTTCCGGAATCGACTTGACCGTAGCAGCCGCATTCGATGCGTCTTGCTGGTGAAACAAGAAGCGCGCGTCCACACGAGCGGCTTCTTGCTGATGAATCGTTTGAAGGTTGATTGAACGTATTTGTTCGTCCTCGACAGCGTTTTGCTCGGTCGGCAATGCCGATGGAAACAGCGTTGTGTCCGCTCCGGACGAAGTGAGCTGACCAATGTCTGCATCGTTCGCGCTGGTGAAGGTGATGACTAAGCCTTGGACACTGCCAGGCGCATTCAGAACGATTTTCCGCAGCAGCTCCACCGCCGCTCGATCGTCGGATCCTCCGAAGAAGGGGACAATGATTCTTCGCATGCCGAGCGGTCTCTGCAAACCATATCGGCGCTCCAGCTCGCGTCGCAAACTTGGTCGAGACTCTTCCTTCCCCGGCAGTGCCGATCTGCAGGACATGCTGGGATCCAGCAAAACACCTGTGGCGCATTGTTTGCGCAAATTGCGGAAGAGCTGCGAGGGAAGCGATTGAGCATCCGAATTAGCTTGCCAGAAGCTGACAGCGGCGTCCTCTTCGTTGATTGTCTTGGCGAAAGACAATCCGCTGGCAGCCGCAGCAGCGCCGAGCCAGGAGAGACCTCGACCGTACGAGTTGTGCGCTTCCCAGGCCACCAAGGCCATACCACGACCGAGTTCTGATAAAGTCGAATCAGATGTACCGAGTCGATGCTGTGCCCTCGCGTTCTGCTGCGCGATCGTTTTGATCATCTCATGTCGAGGAACGATGAAGGTGTCTGCAGGAATCGAGTCAGCGGCGCCAGGATTGCTGTTGGCGCCAGGAGTCGTCGTTGTTGCCGTAGCGTGGCCAAGCTTCCTTTCCTGGGCTAGCATGGCAGACGTGGGCACTCTGCAAAGTAGCTGCACCATCTTGAGGCTTTCCATCATCTCATCGCGGTGGCGTTCCTCCGAGTAGTTGATGAGCTGCATGATTGACGAAGTCGTGTATTCGATCGGCAACATACGAAGCAAATCTACGGCAATCTGACCTGCCGCTGCCTCATTGGCGTTGTCGGCATCCATGCCACCTCGAGTGATGTTCGAGAGCGACGGGTTCTGGCCTACCAGGTTGAGCAAGTACATGAGCGTCTTTATCGCTGGACTTGGCGAGGCGATTGCAATCGTGATTGGGAGATCAGCGCAATCGGTAGCACGACCTTGCATGGGCCCCTTGTCGAATCCGCCCGTGCCGGCTGCTTGCTTTTCTCTCTCGTTCTCAGCCTCTCCTGCAGCTTCTTGTTGAGCAAGACTGGAAAAGTAGACGTACCTGGACAGAGGACGCACCGACATGGTGGTGCACAGGAAGCAGATGACGAGCATTGCGAACACCTTGGGGCTCACAACATTGAGCTGAAGCGCTACATTGAGAATGATAATCTCGATGATACCTTTGCTCTGCATGAGACTTGCTACGCACATGGACTCGCGCCACGTCATGCCAGCGAGCTTGGCGGAGGCTGCGGTGGCGCCGAATTTGCTGACAAAGATGCCCACGAGGAGCAGAAAGATGAGACCCCAAGAGGTGCCGTCGTCGAGAAGTTTGAAGTTTGTGCTGAGACCGCTCGTGACAAAGTACAGCGGAAGCAACACAATCATCACGAGCGCTTCTATGCTTTCCGTGACTTTGACCGCAAAGTTTCCGTGCGGGCAGCAAACGCCGAAGCTGAAGGCGCCGACGATGGGGTGTACGCCCATGGCGTCGGTGTAGAAAGCGCTGACGAGCGCGCCACAAAGGGCAATGACGAGCAGGTGCTCCGGGACACGATCTTCAGCGCCTGTGGTCATGTCGAAGCCGCTATGAGCGATGAGGCGGTTCATAATGGGCCGAAAGACGAACCAAAGCATAGCAATGTAGCCGGCGGCGGCGAGCAGCTGGTAGAGCGCATCGATCTGCTTGCCTCCTGTGCCGAGGGCCGAGCCTAAGGCAAGCAAGACATAGCCGATAAGGTCGTTGCATACGCCGGAAGCTATGGTGATGCAGCCTAGTCGAGTGCTGAGGATGTTCATCTCGGCCATGATGCGCGAAAGGACCGAAAGCGAGGTGACGGCCATCACGGTGCCAACAAAGAGGAAGAAGGTGGTGAACTTGACGGTTTGATCGGTCTCGATCTGCCAGATGAGCCTCGCGATGCCGACAGCAATGCCAAAGGGGATCGCCATGCCAGGTAGAGTGATGAGCAGCACCTTTTGCCAGTACCTGGCCATGAGATCGGTATCGGTCTCGAGACCTATGAGAAACAGGAAGAACGAAAGACCGATGGTGGCCATGAGCTTCAGCAGGCCCAGCGCTTGTGTAGGGACGATGTTCTCCGTGAATCCGGGTATATTGCCGAGAGCGGTAGGTCCGAGGAGGATGCCGGCGAGCAGCTCGCCAACTACGGCGGGCTGACCTATCAACTTGAAGAGCTTGCCGAGTATTTGACATAGTACGATGATGATGATTACTTGCGTCAAGAAGAGACCGAAGCCATTCGTGGTGAGGACGTAGTTGTTCGGGTCGAACGCCAGTGGATCGCTGTGGCTGAGAAAGCCATAATTGAACGGCATGCCGGCGATGTCACCTCGATGGTCTGCGACCGGATGATGCCCACGCCGAGTGGAGAGGTCCGACGTCGCTGGCAACGCGACGACATGCGCTCGCTAATGGTGTTGGTGGAACAGAACGATGCACATCCTCGATTGACGTTCGCAGCGTGATGAACGGAGGCGCAGCGATAGCAGGAGTGTCGAGGTGGCCAGGTCGGAGCGGCGCGTGCTGTAGTCAGGGGCGGAAAGGAGTCGAGCAGAGGCGTTGGTCGACCAAACCCTCTCTTTCTCTCTCGCGCCCCCACACGCTGCCTTGCCTTGGATGTGTTGCTCAGAAAATTCAAGCGATCTGCGAGTTGGTGCTGTTGCATTTTGACTTTTTGTGCATGTGTCACTTTTGAAAGCCAGCGCGTGCGAGTTGATGCCAGCGCGCTTCTTCCGTGCTTTCTCACGATCCAGGTACTCCTACTTGCGCCTGAGATCAAGCTGACAATCCACATCCATTCGGTCTCACGCAGAGCAAGCAGCGAGGCGAGTAACGCAATGGCATGCTGGCATTTCCGCATAATTTGTTCTCGTGCAGATGGCAAAGCTGGTATCGTATTGTCTACAATGTCAGAGATCCCGCGCAGAGGGATGTTTGAGGCGTTTTGGGGATCGAAGGAGGTATTCAATGCTTGCGGACTAGGGCCTGATGATATAGAATGGAGAGCAGGAGAGTGAGAGAGAGAAAGAGGGAGAGAGAGAGAGAGAGAGAGAGAGAGAGAGAGAGAGAGAGAGAGA